CTCTCTCTCTCTCTCTCTCTCTCTCTCTCTCTCTCTCTCTCTCTCTCTCTCTCTCTCTCTTGCTCTTTCTCACTCTGTTGCTCTCTCTCTCTCTCTCTCACTCTCTCTCTCTCTTTCTCTGTTTCTCTGTTTCTCTCTTTCTCTCTTTCTCTCAGAGGCACTTGTCCTGAGTCACTGGTGGTCTTCAAGTGAGTTTCAGGATGATTTTCCTACAGGGGTAGGGCTGGATTGGGGACATCACACAAAAGGAAAGCAGGAAGTCACAGCATACATCACCGAGGCCAATGCTTCTTGCTTCAATCTCCGTAAGAGCCTCGATGCTCTAGTCTAAGTCTTACCAACCACACACTGAGTACCTTCAGTCTCTTGAGGATTTTTGTATCCTTAGGTGTTCTCTGTATTTACTCTTATATTCATTTTATTTTATGTTTGAAGTGCTGGGCATTGTATATAGAGCCTCACTTACACTAAGAAAATCTCCTACTCCGGCTTAAGTCTCCTCCATCCTCCCCTTTGCTTTCCAGAGTCTCCCAGTGTAGCTTAGGCTTTCCTGGGACTCACTGTGTATTCCAGGCTACCCTCAAACCACTGCTAATCCTTCTGCGTTACTTTAGAAGTACTAGGATTAAAGCCTACCTCACTAGGCCGAATCTATGCAAAGCTTGGGATTGCGCCCTGGGCTCCATGCATACTACACTAAATATCCTACTTTTAGTTTTATTTCCCATCTGAAATAACCATCATGCCCTCACACATCCTTTATGCTAAAAAGATTTCTCCCTGAGGCTGAGGGTGGAACTCAGTTGATACAGAGCTTGTAATTCTGTGGATAGGGTGCTTGTGGCTTAGTAGATTGGCTCTTCCTGTGGGAGGCCATCTGAGTTAATGACACACTGCTGTACCTGAAACTTGGCTCCTTCAGGAATTATCTGGGTTGTGTTTCTAGTCCACTTTTATGTTTATATTTTCCTTTCTGAGGCTGGTGTTAGAATGTGTGGGGAATAGTTAATAATAATAATACACTTATTATTATTATTATTATTATTATTATTTCTGTTATTTGGGGGAACGTACTGGATGCCAGGGCCTCATGCATGCTAGGTAAGCAGCCACTGAGCTATACACACAGCCCAGGAGCAAACTTAGTAGCAGTAGTAGTATCATCACTATTGTTATTATTGTTCTTATTGTTGTTGTATGAGATGCTGGGGATGCACTCACGGAACTCATTTGTACTAATCATGAGCTCCAGCACTGAATTGCATCCCTAGCCCATCCTTCCAACCTCTATATCAAATGCTGTATTGACCTTGAACAAAAAAATCACCATTTTCTAATATGATGGAGAATAGGAAAGGACCTACATCTATCTTCACAGCCTACTGGAATTGTCCCTGCTTGTGCACATTGGCTCTTGAAACCCAATTCTAGGCATCTGGGCCACTTCCATATAGCATCTTCCTCAGCTACCCCAGGAGCCTTATTACATACATAAAAATTCACATTTTCCCCTCACCATATCAAACATACAGAAAATTACTTCTGAAAGGTTCCAGGGATCCATGGATGGGGCACTTGACTACCATGTGTGGAGCATGTGTGTGGAAGTAGTCATTTGAGGTTTTTTTGTTTGTTTGTTTGTTTGTCTTATTGGCAAGGCCGCTCATCTTTGTGGTGTGGAAGGCAACCTCGGAATCTATAAGAGCTGTAAAATAATTTACAATGAATTTAGGTGGTGGTGTTTGTTACCTTGATAACCTGTGACCTCAGAGTCACCTTACAGGTCAAGGGACTCTGCTGTAGTGACTGGTATAAATGTCTGAGGCTTAAGCATCAAAAGATGGAGTGATTTTGTATCACACAGGGATGCTGGGACACTGACTGGGATGGGCATATGCAACGTGCATTTGAGTGAATGTAGGTTATTTTGGTGGCTTACAACAAAGGGATTGAGAGTGGCGGAGGGGTAGGGACAGGCAACTTATGTTTGGGTCCAGTGACAACACAGGTCTTTTTTACAGACTTTGAAAATTGGTGTGGAGTGTATATTAGCTTACTTCTCATTGCTGTGACAAGATCTTTGACATTATACAATTATAAAGAAGAATGATTTGTGTTGGCTTCTGTTGTCAGAGGTATCCATCCATGGCTCTGTTGGTTTGGACCTGTGGAGATTCAGAGCACTATGGGAGCTTGTGGTAGAACAGAGCTGCTTACCACATAGTGGCCAGGAAGCATAGTAAAAAGAAGATGGGTCCTACTGTCTCCTTCAGTGACATGCCCCCAATGAGCTAAGCTTCTCCCACTAGGCAATAAATACCCTGAGACTTTCTGGTACTTTTGGTTGGCTTTGTTCTGACAGCTTCTAGCACTTGGCAGTCTGCTCCACTGTTCTTTTCCACGGTGTTAGGTTTCTCTCTCAGCCTGTGCTTTGGCTCAGCAGCTCTCTGCTCTGTGTAATCAACACCGCCAGCTGTTTCTGCACCCACGAGTCGCAGGCACAAGTGTGAAGGAAACAAGTCGGTAGCCATCTGATGCAGAAGCCATCCTGTGGACTGCGCATCGCAGTACAGCTGTCACAGGCTCTCTTCATGTGCCATACTTTGAGCACAAAGGTGACATGTGATCCACCAATCAGAAGCACAGGCAAGGATTCTGGTGTCATGACACTTGCTTTTCTCATTTTGCTGTGACAAAATGCCTGATAATAAGCATTTAAGGGAAGAGGAGATTATTCTGGCTCAGACTGCTGCCAGTCCATCATGGAGGCAGGAGCAAAGAGAAGGAACACTGGGGCTCAGCTTACTTTCTGAGTCCAGGACCACAGCAAGGATAGTGATGCCCATATGCAGGGTGGGATTTCCTACATCAGTGAATTAGACATTCAGGGGTAGCCTGGAGCAGACTGAGGTTATTTTAAGCACTTTCAGCTTGATTATCCTATTCTTCATTGAAACATGTATAAATATTCCCACCCACACTTTCTATTCATCTGATCCACTCTAGAGCACTCCTGGCTTCCACTCAGTGCCATTTATGACTCTGTGTGCCTCCTCTACTCCTTTGTGTTCTGTGGCATTTGTCTCCTGATTGATAGACATCACCTTTTCATAAAGAAAAAAGAAAAAAACAGAAACAACTAAGCACCAAAGACCTATTTTATATCCGAATTAATTCATTGTAAGCTTAGATAGCAGAAGTCAAAAAAAATGTTTTTGAGGCTGGGCATGACAGAGCATACCTGTCGTCCCTTCTAAACAACTTTAATACTAAAGTTGGTTTTTGTGGGTTATTGGGCTGTTCGGCCTGCTGTCTAGCTATGGGTGTGTCTGTCTTGATCCTGAACCTGGCTTATGCTTGCTGTGAGGAACATTCTGTGTTTTTTAATGATGAGAAAAGAATGAAATTTTATGAGGCTTGCTTCTTTTGGAGTACATAGCTTTCCTACATCATAAGTGACAGTGCTATACATCAAATTGGCATAAGGCTGAAAACAACTGTGTTTAAAGGCTGGGATGGGGAGAGAGGTGGGGGGTGGATGAAGGAATGGGGGGGGGGTTGTGGGTGGGTAAGAGTGGATGAGTTAGTATATAGATTGAAATGGAACAGAAAGAGTAAGAGGAAAAGGATATATATATATATATATATATATATATATATATATATATATATATATGGAGCTGGAAGAGAAAAGGAACACGAAGGGGCATAGGGAGAGATCAGATGGAGGAAGATGAAGAATGATTAGTAGGGAAATAAGGGAAGAAGAGATGAAAGGGCATGGGAGGCTGAGAGCTCAGTGGACAAAGAAAGGGCAGAAGGAACAGAGAGGTTCAGAAAGAGAAGAAACAGAACATCCTAGAGGAAGAGGAGGAGACGGGGAGGAGACAGCGGAGGTAGATAGAGGTCGAAGAGGAGATGTGGCAGACAGAACAAGGATTCAGAGTTTCCTACCAGGAGTCACCAAGGCCAGCATCTCCACTCTTCTCATGGCTGTGTTTCAATCTCCAATACACGTAGCAGACAATTATTTGTTTTAAGTTTTTTTTGTTTTTTTTGGTTTGGTTTTTTTGAGACAGGGTTTCTCTGTGTAGCCCTGGCTGTCCTGGAACTCACTCTGTAGACCATGCTAGCTTTGAACTCTGGAACTCAGAAATCTGCCTGCCTCTGCCTCCCAAGTGCTGGGATTAAAGGCGTGCGCCACCACCGCCTGGCTTGTTTTAAGTTTTAGTTATTATTATTATTATTGTTAATATATGTGGTTATATGCAATAGCATGCTTGTGGACATCACAGGAAACTTTGTTGAGTGGCTGTCCGTCCATTCCCCAAGGCAAGCTGTTTACCCTCAGAGTCATCTCCCTGACCCCTTGATTGACAGTTGCATGTGAAAGCATATCTATACAGAACTCAGTGCTCATCTAAGTTTCTTTCCCTGTGTTCAGCTTTAAGGCCCCAAGTTGGCACGGTGTCCATTCCTTAAGTATGTTTTTCTTTTCCTGAGCCTTGACTGGATGCATTGTCTTCTTCAGGAACTGGAACCTTTGGCCGTGTAAACTTGGTGAAGGAGAAGACAGGCAGGCGATATTATGCATTGAAGATCATGAGTATACCAGATGTTATTCGCCTAAAGCAGGAACAACATGTGCAGAATGAGAAAGCAGTCCTGAAGGAAATAAACCATCCTTTCCTCATTAAACTGTGAGTTCCCTGGCTCCTTCCTTCTCACCTCCTCACTTCTCTAAGGTTATTCTTTCAAGAGTGCATTGTAGGGGCAGTGCCGGGGCTGTAACTCAGTGGATAGAGTGCTTTTAGCTCAGCTAATACAGAGTTTGTAGCTCAGTGACTACAGTGCTTGTTTGTAGCTTAGTGGATAGAATACTTGTACCTCAGTTGATTGAGTGCTTATAGCTCAGTGGTAGAGAGCTTATCCCTCAGTGGGTAGAATACTTGCAGCTCAGTTAATACAGTGCTTGTAGCTCAGTGGGAAGAGTACTTACAGCTCACCTTATGAAGTACTTGCAGCTCAGTTGGTAGAGAGTGCTTGTAGCTCAGTGGGTAGAGTGCTTGTAGGATAGTGGGAAGAACGCTTGCAGAGCAGTAGGTAGAGAGTCTGTAGCTCAGTGGGGACAGTGCTTACAACTCAGCTAATACAGTGCTTGTAGCTTAGTGGGAAGAGTGCTTGCAGAGCAGTGGGTAGAGAGTCCGTAGCTCAGTGGGGAGAATGCTTGTAGCTCAGTGGTGTGAGGTGGGAGATGCTATCCAGGTTTTGTCTTGATTTATTATTCATTGTGTGTGACCATGTACATGAGCACAATACCCACAAAGGCTACAGGAGAGCACTATATTTCCTTGGAACTGTAGTTATAGGTGGCTGTGCACTGCTTAGCTGGGTGCTTGGAATCCAACTCACATCCTTAAGAGCAGCAAGTGCTCTTAAACTCAACTCTGGTCCATCCCTCAAGAATCAACTCATGAGTTTATATAACAACTCCTTTTTTTTTTTAAAGATTTATTTATTTTTATTTATGAGTACACTGTAGCTGCTGTCTTCAGACACACCAGAAGAGGGCATCAAATCTCATTACAAATGGTTGTGAGCCATCATGAGGTTGCTGGGATTTGAACTCATGACCTCTGGAAGAGCAGTCAGTGCTCTTAACCACTGGGCCATCTCTCCAGCCCCCTAACAACTCCTTTTTGTGTGACGTAACCAGGAGCCATAATTCTAACAATCTCTTCAATGTTTATGCCCCATTAAAGTCTAAGACCTGGGTCTTTTGTTATGGCTTCCAATCAAGGTGATAGAGTAAGCTAATTATTCATTTGATTTTCATAAAAAAAACCCCTCAAATTGGTGATTTTTTCAATATTACATCCTTTTTTTGCGTTTCAGAAATATATATGTATATAAGTATGTGAAGGTCCATATGGGCATGTGCATGTGGAGATCTGAGAACATCTGCTGTCATTCCTTAGTTTAAACTAAGTGTTTGAGACAAGGCCTCCTGCTGACCTGGGACTCAGAAAGCCCAGGCAGCCTCAGGGAGGGTAAATTGCCCAGCATAGCGTTATTGAAACACCACTGCACAATTGCCATGCGATTCTAGAGTCCTCTATGCTATCAGAACATGATGTAAGTGCACTATAGTCAAAATTCATTAGAACAGTGTAGAAATGAGAGCATCAAGGACTTGAGAGAAGGGTCAGCGATTAAGAGTGCTTGCTTCTTTTGCAGAGGGTTTGCCTGGGTTTGGGTCCCAGCACTCACCTCTCAGTGCACAGTCATCTGTAATTCTAATTTTGGGACACACTCAATACACACACACACACACGCACACACGCGCACACGCGCACACACACGCACATAAATAAATAAATAAAATACAAATAGATGTATATTTTTAATATTTGCAACACACGGAACTTAAATTCTACATGAACTTCAATATTAGCCAAAATGTGTTTCTCTCAGCCACAGCATCAACTGAGGCTCATTGCTCTGTGTTTGTGTCCCAGTCTCTTCTTATGAGGACCCAGTCCCATTAAGTCATGTCTACCCCAAAGACCTCATTCTACCCCAGATTCTCCAGTTAAAGACCCATCTCCACGCAGCCCTGTCTCAAGGTCCTGGGTATGCAGACTTTTAATACAGGAATTCTGGCAGAATGAATCCTAAGTGCTTAGCTAAGTCAGACTAGACAACTCTACCCCCTGTGTAACTGTGCACGCCTTATAGGAATCTTTTCTTTTTTCTTTCCTTTTTTTGGCTTTCTTTATTTTGCATTTACAGGATTCAGCAGGTGGGTTAAAAACTAGGTCAAAGTGACTTAGTGCTATAGAGACTTGCACTTGCCCTGCATGCTGTACTCACAGCATGGCAGAGTACACTGTGTATCTGTCCAGCTGTGGGAACACAACTTAGCGGGTTGTGTTAGCAGGCCTTTGAACTTCAAAGGATAAATTATGCATGCTACTTAAGGTCTTTAAAGTCTTATACTCTGTCCTTTAACTATGAATACTTGTGAGGTCATCTATACAACTTGTGCATGTTGCCTATGAACATGGAGTAGTCTGTCTTGAAGAAACATGGAATGCCCAGCAGAGTGGGAATGGCTTCAAATGGCTGATGAAAATCTCAGCTTACATTGCTGCAAAAATCTGGGCTTATTTACAAATGGTTTTTATCAAGAGTCACTATTAGGCTCAGCCTACTATGCATGGCACTGTTCTCAGGACAGGGAAAAATGTGTGGTAAGCTTCAACTATCAATTGGCACAACCCAAAATCCCCTAGGAAAGGTTTCACTGGGGGATTTCCCACATCAGATCCCACATCAGACTAGCCTGTGAATGTGTTCTAATTGATGAGTGACATAGGACTCCACCCACCATGGGTGACATCATTCCCTAGACAGGATGAGGCTGTACTGTCAATTTGACACAGAAAATTTATGCTCTACATGGAGACCATGATCTCTCACCTTGTGCACTCATTCCTTTATGTCAGAGGGATATACACACAGAGGTCTAACAAGAAATGAAGTCTGGGGTGGGCTACACTATGCACTCTTGAAAGGTCCAGTGTTTTGGGGTGGCCTACTGCTGTTGCTGGGAGAAACCTCTCATCCTCGGGGCTTATTGTCAGAGTGCTCTGTAGACATTGCTTTGTACCCCTGGAAAGCAATAATGTTTCTGGATGAAAACCTTGTGGTAGTTGAATGGGAATTGCTTGCATGATATATGATTGACTGATTGATTGATTGATTGATTGATAGATAATATATATAGATGATAGTAGATAGATGTAGATATATGACATAGATGATAAAGGTGGATGGATGATAAAGATGATGGTAGAAATGTGATGGATGGTTGGATTGATAGGATAAATAGCTAGATAAAAGATGATTGATTTATAGATGCTGATACATACATACATACATACATACATACATACATAGTCTTGGTTAAACTTGTAGTGTTGGTAAAGGTCCCACGTAGGGCACCACCTCTTAGCACATCATACTCTCCTTGTGAACTCCAACCTCAGGTTGTCCTTACGGTTTTAGCACCCTATGATGGTCTAATACCAACCTGCATCCACAGTCCATCTAAGTACAACCTTATGATCTGGGTGAACTGACATCAGATATCTTATCAAACATCTTCATTACTTGTTGGTCAGCTTTGATTCTGTTGTGATAAAACAGTGACCCAGAGGGATTGAAGGTAGGAAAGGGTTAACTTGACTACTTGGCTTTCACTCTCCTATCACAGGCCATCTGAGAGGGAAGTCAGAGCAGGAACCAGAAGCAGAAAGCTTTCATCCAGCCCAAGAAGCCCAATCCATGATGACTGGGGCCTCTTATGTCAATTATCAAATAGGACACTCCCCACAGACACCACAGGCCAATCTAATGTGGGAAGTGCCTGACTGAGACCCTACCTAGGTGACTTCAGGCCTTTAGAGCTGACAGCACATCTTTCCCCTGCTAGGGAATGGTACCACCCACCATGGGTGTGATCGTCATACTTAAATCAACTAATCAGCTGAATAAAGATCCTCCCCACAGACATACCCACAGGCCAGGATGATATGGGAAATTCTTCACTAAGTACCTTCCCAAGTGACTCTGGGTCATAAAGGTGACAGTTAAAGCTAACCAGGACACATGCACATGTTAGCATCTGTTTGTGTGTTTATCTTGATATCTGTATTTATATTTTGATATTCGCATATATGTACCTGTTAGTGTCTGTGTATACCAGTATAATGACGGGAACATCTACCTCTGTATATCTGGAGTCTGTACAGACATCTATCTTGTCATCAGTGTCTGTCAATCACCAACATACTTCCATGAGTATCTACATCCTAGTACCCAACTCAATACCCATCATGCACTGTTGTTTCTCACAGGCACTGGACGGGCCATGACAACCACTTTCTGTACATGTTGATGGAGTTCGCACCTGGTGGTGAGCTGTTCACCTACCTACGTAATCGCGGCCGCTTCTCCTCCGTTGCTGCAATCTTCTACGCCACAGAGATCGTGTGTGCCATAGAATACCTACACTCCAAGGAAATTGTTTACAGGGACCTGAAACCTGAAAACATCCTTCTAGACAGGGAAGGGCATATTAAACTCACGGACTTCGGATTCGCCAAGAAACTAGTGGATAGGTGAGTGGGGGCAGTCATGGGGTCATCAGAGGTTAATTGAAAAACAAAAGGTTGATTTAAATGGGTGGACAGAAAGAGCAGAAGATGTATGGTAGGCTCTAGTGTGATGCACCCCTCCATCCATCTATTTAGATGGGTCTCCCATTTATTTTCCCATTGATATAGTAATAAAACAATCTTTAAAGAGCAGCTTAAGGAAGAACAGGGATAAAGGTGCCAAGAAGAGCATGTGTAGAGGACAGCTGCTTACATTGTAGCCACATATAGGAAGAACAAGCAGGAAGTAGAGCAGGGTTATTGTCTTAGTTAGAGTTTTACTGCTGTGAATAGATACCATGACAAAGGCAACTCTTATAAGGACAACATTTAATTGGGGCTGGTTTACAGGTTCAGAGATTTAATCCGTTATCATCAAGATGAGAGCATGGCAGCAATCAGGCAGGCATGTTGTAGTAGGAACTAAAGAGTTCTACATCTTCATCTGAAGGCTGCTAGAAAACTGGCTTTCAGACATCTAGGATGAGGGTCTCAAAGCCCATGCCCACAGTGACACACCTACTCCAACAAGGCCATACCTACTCCAGTAGTGTCACTCCCTGTGCCAAGCATATACAAACCGTCACATTCCACTCCCTGGCCCCCATAGGCTTGTTCAAACATGAGTCCTTGGGGGCCATACCTAGCCATAGCATAATAAAAAAATACATTTAGTCCAACTTCCAAAGTCCCCATAGTCTATAGCAGACTGAATAATATTAAAAGTCCAAAGTCATCAGAACTCTACTCTTTTTTTCATCTTTGTTGACTACAAAGTTCTTTCTCCTGGGCTGATTCCACTCCCTGTAAGCAATTTTCCTTGTGTTAGCAACTTTCCTCGGCAGGTATCTGTTCTTAATCATCACTAATTTCTTAGCTCCAGCTAACCAGCAACAATTGTCCCAGTAGTCCCTTCTATTCTTGACTGTAAAGCCAGAGCCACATGGTCGAAGCTGCCGAGTTCTGAAGATTGCTGGGGCTGGAACATCCCTCCCCTACCCCCCAACCCCATGCCTTATTCTATTAGCAGCTTTCTGTTTTCCAACTCCCTCAAGGCCTAAGCTTGGCTGTCCTGGAACTTGCTCTGTAGATTGACCTTGAACTCAGAGATGTACATGGCTCGGTCTCCTAAATGCTGGGATTAAAGGCATGTACTACCACACTTGGACTTAAGCTTTTCTTTACTTAGAACTTGCTCTGTACCAGGCTGGCCTTGAACTTGGAGATATCTGCTTGTTGGAGATAACTGCTTGGCTTTTTCTCCTGGGATTAAAAGTATGTATCACCATGCCTGGGCCTAAGTTTTTCATGGCCACTGTTCCTCAAGATCCAGATCAAAAGCCTATGTCTTTTAGCCTCAATATCTGGATCACAAGTGTACTCTTCTTTTCTAGACTGTTCTTTATTCCAGATTAAAAGTCCAAACTATTACTTGTTCAACTGCAAATACAAACAGTAAACTTCGCTGGAAGGGATCTGGCAGTGAGATCACCACTCCCTTAATGTCTTTATCTCCTTGAACACAGAATTCAGCTCCATTTCACTTCCTGGAGTCCCTTTATTACTTGGACCACACATGTTTTATTTTTCCTTTCTAAGCTTGTTACACTTGTTCAAAACACTGTTCATGAGACTTAACCAGAGAACAAAGTCTCTGTTGGGCTTTTTGAGACTTCCTTTGTCAACGCAATTAATATAAATCTCTTTACCTTAACCTCAGGTAGACTCTTCAAACAAGGGCAAAAAGCAGCCACATTCTTCACTAAAATATCACAAGAACAATCTCTCGGCCATGTATTAAAAGTGTTCTCCTCTGAAACCTCTATAACCAGGCTTCCATAGTTCAAATCACTCACAGCAACAAAGTCTTCCATATTGTTACTAGGGTGGCCCATTAAGCCCCACGTAAAGCATTCCAGTGCTTTCCAAATACAAAGTCCCCAAATTCACATTCTTCCAAACAAAGGCATGTTCGAGCCTATTACAGCAATACCTCAGTCCCTGATACCAACTTCTGTCTTAATAGGGTTTTACTGCTGTGAACAGACACCATGACCAAGGCAAGTCTTATAAAGACAACATTTAATTAGGGCTGGTTTACAGGTTCAGAGATTCAGTCCATTATCATTAAGGTGGGAGCATGGCAGCCTCTAGGAAGGCATGGTGCAGGAGGAGCTGAGAGTTCTACATCTTCATCTGAAGGCTGCTAGAAGACTGACTTTCAGACGTATAGGATCAGGGTCTCAAAGCCCATGCCCACAGTGACACACCTACTCCAACAAGGCTACACCTACTCCAGCAGTTCCACTTCCTAGGCCAAGCATATACAAACCATCACATTTATTAAACTTTGAGCCTCACTGCCATTGACCTACTTCCTCCAGTGAGGCTCTAATTTACCTAAAGCTTGTCCAGAACCTTCCCAAACAGAGCTGCTTGCTGGATACGAAGTGTTAAAATACCTGAGCCTGTGGGGGGACAGTCCACACCTAGTGCACAACTATGGGAGTGGGGAGGCCCCTCCAGGTTGTGAGCAGAGGAGAAAATTATTCTGTCATCAAGGTGATTGAGTTTTGTTCCAGAAAATTCCAATACTGTGTGTATAAATGACTATAGTGTGTGTATATATATGTATATATATGTATATATATGCGCACCCATGTATATATTTAGTTACATCTCTATATTGTACAGTCATCTATATACATTTATATGTAACTGTATATATACACACACACACACACACACACACATATATATATATATATATATATATATATATACACGCATGTGTGTATGTATGTGTATGTATGTATATTTTACACACACAATCAAATGCCCAGGGATACTATAGCTGGATCACATGGCAGTTCAATTTTTTTAGTGTTGTATTTTTTGCCATAAAATGCATTTATTTTATGTCTGTGTGGTGTGCCTATGTGCATCTCATACCCACAGAGGCCATAAGAGGGCATCAGATAACCTAGAACTAGAGTCACAGGTAAGTGTGTGCAGTCATATGGGTACTAGGTATTGAACCCAGGTTCTCTGCGAGAGCAGCTAGCAGTATTAAGGCTAACAGGCCTCTCCAGCCTCTGCGTTAGCGCTTTCTATTTATAGAACTCTGTACTTAGGGTACTTTGCCCAGGGCTCCTTCCCCTACTCATAGCTATGGGAGCTCTTTGCTGATAATGAAGAAGATGGTGTCGTGTTCCTGTTAACCCATAGTCAGGGGATAGAGGGAAAGAAGGCTCAATATGGAAGGAATTGGGTACTTTCCAGTCTTAACAGGGTGTCTGTGCTGGGGACAGATTCTCTATGATCCCAGTATTGCTGTGGTGTGCTAAGTACCCTTAACCAGAGAGACAGTTTTTGGGGCATTTTGTAAAGATGAATGTGTGAAGAGAGGTTCAAGGCTATAGAAACAAGTCAGAATTAGAAAGTTCTACAGCCTGAGGCATGTAGGCCTCCAGCATCGGGCAGACACAGAAAGACTCAGCTTTCAGTAGGGTAAGCGGAGCTGCCTCCGGTACAGTTACCTGTGGCCTCATCAGCTATAGTGCTCTGTCTGCCCTGATCTTGTTCTGAGTCAAGCTACAAGGATCAAAATCTGAGTTAATGGGCCCAGAGGCACACAGAATGTTGGGAGCCTGTAACTGACTTGATTGTAACTAGTTGATTCCATTAGGAAGGGAGAGGAGGCAGAGGGTGTATATGCAGCCCATGCTATCCTGGTACTCACTAGGGAGCCAAGGATGACTTTGAACTCCTGATCCTCCTGTCTGGAGCTCTGGAGTGCTGGTATGACAAGTGAGCATCTCCACATGTCGTTCATGCTGGGGGTGGAATCTGGGCTCAGTGCCTACAATGCAAACACTCCGCCCATTGAGCGACAAGCACTCTATTTGTGCACCTATAGTTCTATCCCTGCAGAAGTGTCTGAGTTGAACTATGCCGTCTCTTGCACCTGGGTTGGACCAGTTCTTTACAGATTCTGGAGGCCAGACTGGTCTACAAGACACCCAGGGCTACACAGAGAAACCCTGTCTCAAAAAACAAATGAATTAGAGCTTTTTGTTCTTTCAGATGAGGTCTTTCTTTAAAATTTTTCTTTTCTTCCGTGAGGACACAGTAGAAAGCCTGAAACTGTAGCCTTGTGGTAGAGCAGTTTACTGAGGATAGAGTTTCATGGTAAACCAGTTAGCTAACATGTATGAGGCCCTGGGTTCCATCCCCAGCACTGTAGGAGCTGGTTGTGGAAGAGCAGGATGTAGTCTCCATCCCAGCAGGGAGAGATGGGGAGAATTTTTTAAAAAAAATAAAGAAAGAAACAAGCAAAAAATCTTAGATTTGTCTAAATATCCTACTGTCCTACATCTTTCTTGCCTCTGTGTGCCACCAAAAGCCAAATACACCTCCCACCCTCCCACCCTCCCAACCCCTGCCACCTGTCCTAATATCTTTTGACAAAAATCTTTCCTGATGATCAACATTCTGGAAATTTTTCTCTCCAGAAATGAGCTTGTTGGCACACAAGTGGGAAAACAGTGGGCTTACAGGGAAGTGCTGGCACAGCAGAGTTGATGAGGAGAGGGTCATTTTATTTTTTATTTCTTTGGTTTTTGTCACAGGCTCCCTGATCCCAACACTTGGGGGAGGCAGAGGCAGGTGGATCTCTGAGTCTGAGGCCAGTTTGAGATCTATAGAGCAAGCTGCAGGACAGCCAGAACTATACAGAGAGGCCTTATCTTAAAATACACAAAAACTTGGAAATCCTGATCCTCCTGCCTCCGCCTCCACTCTATGTTGGAAATTGAATACAGAATCTACTGAACACCAGCCATGTGCTGTACCAACTGAGTTACATCCCTAGCCCCTATCACTAATGTTAAAAATGATAAATATTGCATATTGATTTACTCACCTCTCATTCTCTCCTTCCCTAGTATTCTTTCCACTACATTCAGTTTTGTTTACTTTTTAATATTGTTATTTTAAGTTATGTTGTCTCTGTGTGTATGTGCGTGCAAATGCAGTACTAGCTGAGGACAAGAAACAATGATGGGATCATCTATTAACTAAATTAAATGGAAGTTAATGCTTGTAAGTAAGACATTCAGCAAAGAACATGCTGTTATGGGGTCAGTTTACATTATGACTATAGATGGAGCAGCAAGGGGTGGTGGTCTATGCTTATAATCTAAGGCGTGGGCAAGTTTGAGGCCAGCCAGGGTTAAAAACAATGACAAGAACAAGGAAAAGAATTGGGAATGTTGTTGTTGTTATATATATGCTGTCACAGGACAACTTTTTGCACTCTGTTCTTTCCTACTCCTCAACCCACCCCACCCCACCCCCAGACAGGGTTTCTCTTTGTAGCCCTGGCTGTCCTGCAACTCACTCTGTAGACAAGGCTGGCCTCAAACTCAGAGATCCGCCTTTCTCTGCCTCCCAAGTGCTGGGATTAAAGGCGTGTGCCACCACCCAGCTTCTTCTACCTCTTCTGTAGATTAATCTTAGACTTGTACAACAGTATACCAACTAAGCTGTATTGAACACCCAAAGTTTGGATTTCTTTAGTTTTATGGAACAGCTAGGCTCATAGGCCAGTCTGATGTGGGAAATCCTTCACTAAGACCCTTCGCAGGGGACTCTTGGTTGTGTTAGTTGACAGTTAAAGCTCAAAGCACAGCTTCCTGTGCCTGTGGAATTGGTCTGCTCATGGAGACTATGACTTGTGCCTCTTTCACATCATGGAATCTTATACTTGTCACATCATTGATGCTCAAAAAGTTTTAGATTTGGGAGCATTTCAGTATCTTTCAGTTAGAAATGTTCAACCTATATGGCCATATGTTATTTTTTTTGCACAGTGGCCACACTTGCAGTCTTGTTTTTTAAATATTATTTATTTAATGTATGTGAGTACACTGTAGCTATCTTCAGACACACCAGAAGGGGGCATCAGACCCCATTACAGATGGTTGTAAGCTACCAAGTGGTTGCTGAGATTTGAACTCAGGACCTCTGGAAGAGCATTCAGTGTTCTTAACCACTGAGCCATCTCTCCAGCCCCACACTTGCAGTCTTAATCACTGTATCTTTCAACACCTTCCAAGTTTCATGGGTTCATGCTTTTGTCACCCCCACAGGACATGGACTCTCTGTGGCACACCGGAATATCTTGCTCCAGAAGTCATTCAGAGCAAAGGTCATGGAAGGGCTGTGGACTGGTGGGCACTGGGCATCCTTATCTTCGAGATGCTGTCTGGGTGAGTGACCCTCCTGACAGATGTAGCTGCATACACTCACACACACACACACACACACACACATGGCATCTCCTTCACACCCTGTAAAGAATCTTAGCATCTTCTTTCTCCTAAGTCTGCAGACACTTGGCATGTGAGATGCACTCAGAATACCCTACTGTCAAGATTTGAAGGGTGATTGGGTGTTTAGTTTGCTTAAACAAGACTTTAAATTGTCATAGACATCCATGGTTTCATATGTATAACATCCATCTTCTTCACATAATGGACACCCCAGTCTAAGCGGTACCCAAGGTGAACAAATGACACTAATCAGAGACAGCTTTGTAAGTAGTGATGGAAAAGCAGATGAGGAAGGCAAGATTGGGTTGTTTTTTCACCCTAGATTCCCTCTCTTGGCAATGCACAAGATATGGGAGTGATGGGCTCTGTCTCTGTCTCTCAGTTGATGGGATGGTTGGTTGTTCCTGAGGGTCACTGGTATCTGTGGAGGCAAGTATATACCTGATAAAAATTGTGTAAACATTGAAAGCAAGATGCCCACAGATCTAAGTATAGCCAGAGGGATTGGGGACCAATACCATGGCAGAGTTATTGGCTCCTATGGGAAGGTAACAGTTTTCCCAGAACCACGGGTACCGAGATACAGGAAAAGTTCATCCTTTGTGGATCAAACCAGGTAGAAAAAAAAATTGAAGGAGGATTTTACTAAAAAAGTGTGAGATCTGTCAAGAGAAAGCATCTATCTACCCACCCACCAATCATCCATCTACCCACTCACCCACCCACCCATCTATCCATCCATCCAATCACCCACCCATCCATCCACTCATCCATCCATCTATCCACTCTTCTAGCTCCTGGAGGTGCCAGGTGTGCTTTGGCTTTTGTGGCCACATCACCCCCAGCTCTACAGGGCTTCTGTGAGTCTGCATCTCCTTTTTTGTCTGTCATGAGGTCACTGTCATTGCATTTAGGGTCATCTGTAGCCAGCATGTACTCATGTCAAGATCTGTCACTCATTCTCTAGGCAGAGACCCTATATACAAATGATGTCACAGTCATGTATTCTGAAAAATGTGCACCTATTGTGTGTGTGTGGATGTGTAATCCATGAAGTATATTCTTAAATCCATGAATTATATTCTTAAAATTTTACAAATATAAAACCACATTTATATATACATAATTTATAATATATAACATAATTTATAATATATATAGTATACTATCTGTGGAGTCTAGTATACACCTGATAAAATTGTGTAATCATACACTC